TATACGTGCCTCTTTCCCAACGCTGCCTCTTTCCCCAAGCCAGCCTCCTTCACTGCTAGTGGGAAAGAGGGTTTTGTTAACGGCCTTGTCGACGGTTTTTCTCAGTTTTTTCTCCACTGTCGTTCCACTTCGCATCTCTATACTCAGTTTCAATCGCCATAATACCCCCTTATTGAGCCCGACTTTTGCCTTTAAAACAAGAATCTTTCATCTCCTATCAGACTCCAGCTGCACCATTCCCAGGGAGTATTTGGATAGGTATTCAATTTAATTCAATTTAATTCAAATCAATTTGAGCTTAAATTTAAGCGGTGCTGCTAAGCTCGCGGCTGCGACTGGTGCTTGCTGCACTCTGCACTTTGACAAGGAAGAGCGCTGACAGATGCAGCAATTCGGAATGCGTAAAAATTTCCTACAGGCACTCTTGTATTTTTCAAAGCTCCCTTTGTTTTGTACCCCCTGCACTCTCAAGCGAAGGGGCATTACACCCCCCTCCCCGCCCCAACAACAGGGTCAACTTCCGCCGTTCCAATTCCATCAAATTGACGAACAACCCCTCCCCCTCGGAGGCGATCTCGATGCGATCCCTTGCCGCCATCATCAGCCTTAGGCGAGTCTCCTCTTATGACGCCCTCCCCCCGGGGGGGGGGAGAAAAGCTCACCGCGGCGCGGACGCGAGCGCGTGCAGGTGACGTCACAGCTGCGACAAAACGGCAACGAGAGGGCGAGGTAGGAGTGTTGCTGTCACTTCGTTTGGCTGATAGAAGGGATACTAGCATTCACTAATTGATGCAGTCAGTAGTACCGTGAGCAAAGAGGTTGTATTGTGTGTAGGTACAATTTTCGCCGTCGAAAATTAGGAATATTTTTGCAAATTTGAGGAAATTAACGGTTTCGCATTTAAAACCCAACGAGTGCGCAATTAAGTCGAAGTTGATTACTTTAAGTTCATTCTTCGTTATTACTTCTACTCACTGCACAGTGAAGTCAGAATCGATAGTGTCTAATACGTAATGTTATAAAGTAATGGCGCCTGTCTTGCCCAATCCCTCCCCGCTGCTGTGACGTCAAATTGACGTCACCTGCACGCGCTCGCATCCGCGCCGCCGGTGAGCTATTCCATGGAGCCCTCCCCTCGCCACCACCCCCCCCCCCTCTCCTCGACCACGCTCATCATCACCATCATGGCTGTTTCTATACTGTTTACTCCGAGACCAGCAGTCAACACAGCCCATATTCCCCCCACTTCAACCACGAACATTTCAGATTCCAAAACACGACCCCTATTTCTTTCTACTTTTGACCTTCACCAACCGATATACGACCCCCTCTTAAAACACCTGAATTCGACTCCCTCCCCCCGTTGAGATCTGCGCAACGCAGTGTCGACCCTGCCTACGGGTCTGTGCTCAAACACAATTCGTTCCGTTCAGAATTCCTAGGACAGCACAACCTCAGCAAAGTAAAAAGTATGAAACGAGGAGTATAGACGATATCTGTTTCTAAACGGGAATAAATTTTAGGCTGCCGTCTTGTCAAGGCTCGAACACCCAAATGTAGTGCGACTGTATGGGATGACTCGTGATGGACCATGTTTGCTACTTGTTTTCGAACATATGAATCTAGGTGAGGAAATCTTATGATGGTGAATTAATGTGTATACCTTATGGTAAAAACCACCTCAATATCAGGTGATTTACGCTCCTATCTCCGAGCACGTGCTCCAACGTCGTCCAGCTATTCCCAGTTCCCTCCAGCCCTTATCGAAAACGAGTTGCGGCTAATAGTTCGGCAGGTATGACCATACTCAAACACAAATTGGATCAATGTTCCAGAAACGGTACAAGGTTTTTTCATTCAAATAAAAAATATGGACTATTGAGAAACTGGTCATGGATTGGAGATTTTTTTTCTCCGTGGCTTCCTTCTCTCCTTGCTTTCTCTTCTTTGTTTTTCTTCTCTCTATGGGACGCTGTGTTTTTCTGTACCATCTGCTCCACATGACTTTTTTCTTTCTGCTTCAACAGCTTTCGCTATCTTCTCCTTTCACTACCATCTCCACGTCTGATTGTCTTTCTCTCCAGTGTCCGTCTCATGGCAAGCAACGTGTCAAGGAAATTTTGGCCAATACAGCTCCCTTCTTCCAACGATGAATTTCACGTTATTATTTCACAATTCTCGTTCCCCACAGTCCGAGTCTGTAAACGATTCAACCGTCTTCTCGCCCACCTCAGCTCATTGCGCAGGGTTAATCGTCCGGTGAGGAAATTTGAACAGAGAAGAATCAGATTAGCTTTTCTCAAGGGAGAGATATCCGGGATGAATAAGCACTTATTTGTAAAGTACTTTAAAAAATTTTGCCCAAAGGATTAAGCTCAGTAAAGTAGCGTTGAGTGTTGCCACAGGACCAGGACAAGCCATCGTCAAGGGTTTCTTCGCAGAAGGGTTTGATTATTTTGAAGGCAATGCCCCGGGATAAAACTGGTGATAACAGCGCTTCGTAGTGATAGCTGAGCTGCGGAACGACCTGAAAGTGGAAAGGAAAGCAAGAGAAATCTTGGGAACGCTGAAATTAAGGCCTTAACCTTCAAAAAGGTCGGATGTGGTACGATGGCGAGACAGGGCGGTCAAAGAAGACAAAACACGCGAGAGATCACGCCGTTCGAGAGAGCACGCTGATCTCCATATCGAGGTGGGTGGGAAGCGTTGCAACGGGGGTCGATGGTTGCAGGCCCGTAAGGATTAGCGCCCTAACCGCGCAATTTTTGCGACGAAGCTGGAGTGATCTAGGTAGGTACGGACCTTACAATTTCCCTCGCGGTATCCTTCCCACTAGTCGGGCTAATCCCTTTGCCTTTGAAGGAGGACTTGCATTAGTAGGATTCTGTGTAATTTCAGAAGGAACGGTGGACTCAGGGATTAAGGTGAAGGCGTAGGGTTTTTTGAGACGGTTTTTGAGACTCCCCGAGAAATAATTGTAAAATCTGTAAAATAGAATTTAAAATATTGCGTAGAAGTACTAAGTTGCCCATCTACCTCTCTCCTTATTTCTATATATTTTTGTCTTATTTGATATTTGGTATACAAATGCGGTCAAAAGTGCTCGCCGAAACAGTTTTTCAAGCATTAAATCTTTCCGCTTGGAAAAGCCTTGCAAGTTTTTTTTTAATTTCTTGCGCATGCCTTGAATCCTCCGAATGCAAGGGTTCAAACCTACTAGAAGGCACAAGACTTCACAGGAAATCAACACTGTAGGGAAACTATCTAAGTGAGAAAGAATACAGTACGAAATACCGTTTCGACGCACACTTTTGACCGCTACTGTATAACTATGACTTCCCAAGTGACTTGCAACATGTCTTAGATTACGAACAAGAGCGAATCACAGGGCCTAAGAAGCAGTGAGAACCATGACGGGGCAATGCGGTTTTGATGACCATTGGGAATAGGCGAAACGGCGTTAGGAGGCAAACTAAATCACATTCTCAACGCGCTGAATCGTCTAATCCGCCATGACGTCCAATGACGTCATCTAAACCGCAACGCCCTTCGACCATCGTAATCACTGTCTTTAAGCCCTTATACGTGAGCGCTTCAGTGCAAAGTTCTTAGTGTCATACATAATTCTCGAACCCGACACCTGTACTCATTAGCATTTGACCGTGGTTGTCAACGTAAACGTAAGGAGTGCTACACAATTGGTTTCAGATTGTGTCGGGTTTATGTTATCTCACCTCTCAGCAAATCGTACATCGTGATCTCGCTGCTAGAAATTGCCTCGTCAGTGGAGAAACAGATCTTCGCTGCTGCCTACCATCCCAGCGACCTCCGATTACAGTAAAGGTAAAAACAAGCCTTCATTACTACATCGAATTTGGTGTCAAACTCGCTCTACAGATCTCGGATTTTGGAATGTCTCGTCGACTTTATGGTCAAGCTGACTACTATAGAATGCATAATCATGCCTTGTTACCAGTTCGTTGGCTACCTCCTGAGGCAATTAACGACTGCAAATTTAGCGTTAGCAGTGACGTATGGTAGGTCCTGAAACAGCAGCAATATCTCATCTCATGCTTGCCTTAGAATAAAATTATTGATTTTGTAGTCATTGAGCCATTCAGCTTGCAAAACCAAAAGTTGTTCTTGGATCTCAATATTCTTTGATTTTTTATTTGTTGTTATTAGTTCAATTATGTTGAATTATTTGTTTGATTATGTTGAACTTTATATTTTGAAATGACATTGTTTTTAAAGGGCGCTCGGCGTTACAATGTGGGAAGTCTTCAGCTATGGAGAAGTCCCATTTGCAGAACTCAACAATTTCGAGATGGTTTCGTGTGCTATGGCCGGTACGTGATAGAGCAGTTCTCTTGAGGAAACATTTTCAGATTGAATTTGTGGGATAAAAGCAGTTTATAATGAAGTTCTGGATCCCGAGTTGACTGTATTCACTCAACATGAAAGAAGAAACAAAGAAAAACTCCTGAAGCCCTTGAAGCAGGATTTCTCCCTCACCTATTCAAATGTGGAGGGGGTGTGCCGGACAAGCTGCCCGACTATGTAGCTTGCTCCACCGGCATTTATTGCTGGATCAGTGCCAGCAAGATGAAGAGATGGTGGGAGGAGGAGTTTTTCAATAGGGGTCACCTTTTGGTAGGGTGAGATGGGTCACGTTATTCCACTGTTTAGGCCGATGTCAGACTTTGCGAATCGCGCGATTCGCTAGCGTCCGCGGTCGCGTTGCGGTACCAGCCAATTGAGTGATTCACTGGCCGCGACGCGACCGCAGACGCTAGCGAATCGCGCGATTCGCAAAGTCTGACATCGGCCTTACGTTTGCTATCGTTTTGTTGTGATAACAAAATAATAATTTATGATTTTATTGCAGGTATACGTCCGCCTCGACCGAAAAGTTGCCCAGTAGCTATGTACGAATTGATGCAACGGTGTTGGGTAGTAGATCCTGATGAGCGCATTCGGCCGGAGGAAGTACTACTCGATCCTGCTCTTGCGCCTGGGCTCAGTGATTTTATAAGTGCCTTCCCCACTTAGAGTTTTCATAGGTTATTCTATTCGTATTAACTACTGTATTTAGTCACCGTGATGGACTAGATTACAATGTTCCATTCGTTAGGAAATCTATGTTTCCACTGGTCCACATGTCAGTACAGGCCTTATCCGCAACGAGAGTTGCGTGACAGTAATCAGTTTGCGGATCAGAAGATGGGGGTCGCTCTGATCATGTGAGCAGGACTATCTGGTACTGCATACATATCAAATGGCCTGTTTCACCTTTTAGCGCACCAAGGGTAAGTGTAAGCAGTGCCAGATGGTCACGCTCACACGCTTTACTCGACCCCTCCCATCAACTTTAAAGTAGTTTGCTTAATATACTTATCTTTGTTAGGTTCGAGTGAATTATGGGTTCGTAAATTGTATAGCAGTGTTGTTTTGTGTCATTGGTGATTTTTATTGCAATTTCAGATTCTATTTTTTCGGGTGTGCATAACTGAATCAATCGATCGCAATTTCAATGTTGGCAATAAAGACGGTAGTCGCTGAGCTTTTATTAAATTGAATTAAAAATTGATACATTTGTTAGACAATGATTAGGTGTACGCTACATCCTTGCGGTTTACTTCTTCACAGATCGAGCTGAGGCACTAGATAGAGCGTTGGTTCAAAGGCAAGGTCCGAGATGGCATCGATGGGTTATTGCACTTAGTATAAGTGAGAGTGGGGAAGTGGAGTGTAGCGCCAGTAATGAAAAACGGCTAGAAATCATCAACAAGGACGAGAATGAAGCTCGCCTCTACAGTAGCGACGGATCGATTCAGGGGCGGAGTCTATGGTGGAAGGAGGAGCACATGGTGAATCCCAGCAAGGCCTCAGCGCCTCAGCCTTGCTGGGCGGAAAGTGGGTACATCTTTCCGCTCACGTGCTACTATTTCTCGCGCTAGAGCTTCGAATCCCTCAGGCTGCTTTCATAGTTCGCATCGGTGCGGTCGGTGCCGACCGGCACCGACAGTGTGAAGAGCGTCAACACGCGCTCTGGCGCATGACGCGTGCGCTGGGCGCAGATGGGGCGCTCCGGTCGATAATCTTGGTTTTGGTGTATTTCTTGTATTTTTTCGATGTTTTTTGCACTCACTTCATATGAATAAACAAAATTGCTTACGACCAACACACCCGGTATGGCCACATCCACCCGGAGTTGTGCGACGGGTTCACGACGTCGCTCGCCCGCGGAACAACTGGAAAGTATTAATCAAGACATAAAAGGGCGCAATGTGGCTCGGAGGGGGGGGCAGCCGCCGCGCGGGGCGTTGCGGCAACAGGAAATTCGCAAGCCAGGGGGTGTAGCCAATTCAGGGGGGGGGTGAGGGGCAGTCACTTAGCATGCGTGAGAAGCTGAAATGTCCCGTGAAAAGCTGGAATGTTCGAGTTACACTACATCGCTGAGCCGCGCACCGACTTCCCCCCCCCCCCCCCGAGCCACATTGCGCCCATAAAAGAATAAGTATGAACAGGAAACACACGAATTAAAGCAACACGGCGCGAAAAAAACATCGAAAAGCACAAGAAATACACCAAAACCAGGATTATCGATCGGAGCGCGCGATCTGCGCCCAACGTACGCGTCATGCGCCAGAGCGCGTATTGACGCTCTTCACACTGTCGGTGCGGTCGGCGCCGTCGGCACCGACCGCACCGATGCGAACTATGAAAGCAGCCTTACATTGCCTGTAATCTCAAACATGAGCAAGTGAAGGAGACATTACAATAAATTAGATAAGCGCAAAATTGGGGTAGCACTAAAAAATAGACCATGTCTGCACCGTTGGATTAGACTCATCAGAACCGAATATCTTAATTGCTGTCAGTCTTAATTTCATGAGAGGTCTAGCTGTGAAATCGCAGAGCGCATA